AAAAAAAGGGATAGAATTGGTCCCTAATTTTCAGCCTAATTATAAAGTTCTTTCGTTAGGGAGGCCCATTATCTCTCGAAAGCTATATGAATTGTAACTATCATCCCATTGAAAAAGCCCAACAAAATCGATTGTAGATTTGCACGCACCATGTTTGTAGTTTCTACTTTTTCAAATTTTATTATTATTATTATATTATTATTATATTATTATATTATTTAATTAACAAAATTCTCTCTTTCTATTAATGCAGGCGTGCAATCTTCTATCCAACAATAATTGGAGTGATAAACAAAAAGGCAATTTTTAGTTTCAAATATATACTCAAACACCAATTGGTCCAATTCTCTGAAGTGGGGTAGCTTATACGGGTCGATCTGTCATACTATTTGAATAAAAATGCGCAATACTATCAAATAATATATTTTTGTTTTTTGTGTAATTTTAAAATAAGACATTTTACAACGAAACTATTCATATCTGTAAAAAGAGTACGTCGAACTAAAATGAGACCAAAATTGGGTGGTAAAATATAACATTAATTTGTTCTATAAACTAAAAGTGTATTTGATTTAGAATTTCGAGTGATATTTTAATATTTTTTAAGATATTCAAATTTAAGAAGAATTAAGTAAAGTGCAACTGTGGCAATGTGGTGGGTAGGAGAGAAATTTTAAAGCACTTGTGAAGAAGAATAGTATTCACTAAAATTTTGTGACCTTAATTTATTGTAAAAAGGGACCACTTTCAGAATAAATGGAAAAAATCGTTGAAAATCTTATTTAGTAAAACTGCAGAAAATCCATTATGTGCTCATAACGATAGAGGGTGGTCCTGTTTGAGGCTAGTCTAGCAGTTTTGCTATGGAGCCATCGAATAGTTCGACTTATGGAGTCATCCACACTTATTCACCAATAGTGTATTGATATGTATCTTACAATAAATATAACTTGGACAAGTGTCAACACATTAAGTTCAGTTTTGCTATGGAGCCATCGAATGACTCGACTTATGGAGTCATCCACACTTATTCACAAATAGTATATTGATACGTGTCCTACAATAAATATAACTTGCACAAGTGTTAACACATTAAGTGGTGGATGACTTCATAAGAAAACCATTCGATGGCTCCATTGAATTTTCGGGCTAGTCTATTATCTACTTTCTCAAAATCTATCTTAGGCAAAATGTGGTAATAAATTGCAAAATATATATATATATATATATATATATATATATTATAATTCTTGATGATTTATGCATATATTTTTATGCTATGTATTATACATCTGATATATTATTTTATTTTTTAGATCATGACATTTCAACTTAAAAATATGAATATTTATTGAAAAAAAAATGATTAAATAATTCTCAAAAGTTCATATGATTATTAAAATTTTAGTCGGTTAATAAATATCATAGAAACATGAAAGCGTCTAAGCTAAATTGCACGGTCAATTATGGAAAAATCAAAACTAAATTCTATAGTCTAATAGATGCTACAAGCTGTTAAATGCTCCATTTTTAATTCTATCACCAAACTACATAGTGCCTTTATTCCAAATCTTTATATTCCTATTAGATTCTAGGGTTATGAATGTATGAACTTTTTGCCCATGCTTTTGGTCACATGAAATTCCCAAATTTAATTTTCCCTGAACTACCATTTTCATTGAAAACTTATTACATTAAAATGGTAGTCGGATTTAATTAACCCGAGTCGTTAATATCGAGTCTACTTATCTCTGTGTTCAATACTAACGAGTCGAGTTAAGGTTCATCAAGTCAAATGAGACCTCTTGAATTTGAGCCAAAAAAAAAAAAAAATAAATAAATAACATGATAATGCTTATGAATTCCAATAAATTTAAAATTAAAAGAAATTAAAAAAAAAAAGAATTAATAAAAGGACTAGACACACTCTGAATCTTCCCAACAAAACAAGATTAATAACTACACACCCACCCAGCAAAATTTAATTACAAAAAAAAAAAA